CTTCCGAGTCAGGGTTTCTCTGTGTAGCTTTGCACCTTCCCTGGATCTCACTCTGTAGACCAGGCTGGCCTTGAACTCACAGATATCTGCCTGGCTCTGCCTCCCGAGTGCTGGGATTAAAGGCTTGTGCCATCACCACCCGGCAACAAATCTTTAAAAAAAAAAAAAAAGAGTGGCTCCAAGAAGAGAGTGTGAAAAGGAGAACTGAGGTACATTACCTAAAACTGAGCAAGCACCCAGCGTCTCCTGTCAGCTTAACAGACAGAAGGCACTCGCAGGAAATCTGTCATAATTAGGTAAACTAATGAACATTACGAGCTTTGTAGCCAGATGTGGTAGAGCACAACTATAGTCCCAGCACTGGACAGGTGGAGGAAGATCAGTGGTAATTCAGGGGTAGCCTGGGCTACATGAGATAGTCTCAGATCCACACACACACATCTGAGGATGTAGTTGAATTAATAGAGTACTCGTCAGCATGCACCAAGCCTTAAACTCAATCCCCAGCACCGCACATTGCATAAAGCAAGCACACTGTGGCCTGTGACCCTGGCACTCAGGAGGTTGAGGCAGGAGGACATCCTCCACTCCATGACAAACTCCAGGCCAGCCTGAAATATGTCGACCATGTCTCAAAAAAACTAAGTGAGTAAAAATAATAAATCAATCTTTAAAAAATGTGTGTGTGTGTGTGTGTGTGTGTGCGTGTGCATAGGGAGAGATGGCTAGCACGTAACTCCTACAGAGGACTCTCACAGCACCCACATGGTAGGTCACAACCATCTGTAACTCCAGTTCCAGGAGATCTGATGTCACCTCCCCCGCCTCAGAGAGGCTCTCACAGGAAGCCCTCCTGTCCCCAGAACTCACTATGTAGATCAGGCTGGCCTCACAGAGATCTGCCTACTTCTGCCTTGCAAGTGCTGGGATTAAAGGCATTAAGTTACTAGGCCTTGTTTTTTGTTTGTTGTATTTTTGTTTTATTTTGGTTTCTTCTTCAAATGTGTATGTGTGCGCTGTGTATATGAGTGCCCATGAAGACTAAAAGGGGGTGTTGGGTCTCCTGGAACTACATTACAGGCATCTGTAAACCCACTCCTATATGGGTGCTGGGAACTGAACTTGGTACCTCTGGAAGAGCAGCAAGTGCCTTTAACCACTGGGACATCTCTCCAGTCCCCTGCCTCTTCTGGCCTCTGAGGGCACCATAAACACACACAGCAAACATAAAACATTTATAGACATACAACAATGAACAAATCTCACAGGAATTGGCGAGCCTAGTGTAGTGACAGGTCTTTAATCCCAACACTTGAGAGGAAGAAGCAGGTCAGCCCGATGTACTTCATGAAAACTGGTTTCCAAACGATGAAGTGGCTCTTGTGACTAGGTTAACTACTCAATTGGTAGACCATGCTCTATTTATTTATGTATTTATTTATTTATTTGGGGTGGTGGGGTACAGGGTTTCTCTGTGTATCCCCTGGCTGTCCTGAAACTCACTCTGTAGACCAGGATGGCCTGGAACTCCAGAGATCCACCTGCCTGCTCCCTCCCCTACCCAGTGCTGGGATTAAAGGCACGTGCTGGCCACCATCTGGCTCACGCTTTTTGTTTTTTAAGATTTATTTTTATTGCTTTTAATTATGTGTATATGTGTGTGAGGGGAGTATGTGCAAGTGAGTACAGATGTTCACAGAAGCCAGAGGATTCAGATCCTTTGGAGCTGGAGGTACAGGCAATTACAAGCTTTGGAACTTGAGTGCTTGGAACCAAACTCGGGTCCTCTTCTCTCTCCAACTGCTAAAGCCTATTCTTAACCCAAAGTCCTGTGTTTAAGTATCAGTACTGTATATATTTGACATTATGGCACACCTAATAGCCTATAACATTCAGAGTGAAGTAAAGGCTCCAAGAACATAAAAATTCAAGGTCATTCTCCATTATATAACAAAGTTCAAAGAAAGCTGGAGATATATGAGATTGTCTCACAAACAATAAGCTGGGGTGTAACTAAACGACAGAGCATGTTCTTACAATGCCCAAGGCCCTGGGTTAAAAAAAAAAAGGCTCATGTACAATTATGATGAACTTTTTTTTTTAAGTCAGGGTCTCACTATGTAGCCCTGGATGACCTGGAACACGCTAAAGCAGCAGGCTAGTTTCTAACTCACAGAGATATGTCTGCATCTGCCTCCCCAGTACTGGGATTAAAGGCGTGTGGCACCATCCAACGGTGCTAAATCTTTTTAAGTGACTTTATTATCCTTCACAGTAAAATGTACCGACATTTAATCCCTCTGATTGTCACAATTAGATTCCAAAGATCAGGGGTCATCATTTGGGGGGGGGCAGAGTCCGAGTCCCACAAACCACCTACGCACACTGGGTATCCTGAGTAGTCCTTGGCCACCGGGGCAGGGCAAGACTACAAACCCCAGAAGGCACTGTGCGCACACTCGACTCACCTGACCCAGAGGCATCGGCGACGGTGTGGCGTGCTCCATCTTCAGAACTACAAGTCCCAGAGGGCTCTACGCGCGACACAACCTCTCGACTCCCAACGTGTCTGAGAGGGGCTCTTCTCGTTGCGCTCCAGGACCTGGCACTGCCTGCCGTTCAACAACTAAGGCGGCAGGCCCGTACTGCCTCGAACCACCGAAACCTAGGAGAGCTCCGCGAAGCACGCTTAGGCTAAGGAGCGTCTGAGACGGCCCAGCTACGCCTAATCCCCTCCCCCACCCGCCGACCCCTCCCGCCTTCTAACCTCGCGCTGCTCGCCTTCCGCGCCTGCGTGGAACGTCTCCAGTGCGCACGCCGTGGCCCCGCCCCTCGCGTTGTGCCACGCCCTCAAAGGCTCCGCCTCTGCCGCCTGGATCCCACCCCTCTATCTGCAGGACCCCGAACCGTAATGATCCTACAACAGCCCCTGGAACGAGGCCCCCCGAGTCGGGACCCACGGGCCACCACTGGGGTGACTCGCGGCCTGGACGCCAGGTGCGTAAGCGGCCCCTGGGTGGGCCGGACTAACGGAGGGTAAGAGCTCTGGCTGGCGACCCAGGGCCGGTCACTCGGGTGATCCTAGGAAGTGAGGCGAGGTGGCGCAGGAAACCGTGGTGCTTGAGCTTGTGTTGTAGCTGGGAAGCCACGGTCAGGATTTCCGAGGTAGCCTGGTGGATGATGGCCTGGGAGAGGAAGGTGGCTTAGGCCACACAGACACGACTGATTCTGGAATCCTGGCTTACTCCGCAGGCTCAGGTGGGCAGATCTTCGGGAAGGGAAAAGGTGGGCTACACCTGGCTCTAATTCCCAGCTCCCCTCTCCTAAGAGCTGTGCCCACGAGCATGGAGACCCCTGGAGAAGGAGCATTAAGTTGGGGGCAGATGGGTCTCCTTAGATGTCACCTTTGGTCCTCATCAGTTTGCCTCCACGCTCAACATCCCTGCCTCTGTCCTCTGGTCTTTCCCCCAGGGAGCCCATGCACAAGCAGCTTCTGTCTGACGAGAACATGGCCACCCACTTCTCCCGACTCAGCCTACATAATGACCACCCCTACTGCAGTCCCCCTGTGACTTTCCCCCAAGCCTTGCCACCACTCAGGTAGGCACCTCCCCTTGCAGGGCCTTCCGGAGGATCACGTTCGTCCTCAGAGCCCCTCCTCATGCCGGGCCTCATCATGCTATTTTTAGCTTCTAGCCAACTTCTGTGCTGTTTTCCATCTTTGGCTCCAGGGGACCTGGACCTGGTAGGAGGTGGCTTTGCCAGCCCAGCCTCTGCCCCATACTTTCACTGTCTTTTTTTTTCTTCTTTCAGGAGCCCTTGCCCAGAGCTGCTTCTCTGGCGCTATCCCGGGAGCCTGATCCCTGAGGCCCTCAGGCTGCTGAGGCTGGGGGATACCCCCAGTCCCTTCTACCCTGCGTCCCCAGCTGGGGATATCATGGAGCTCTAAGTGCTGATGGCCAGTGTTCCTCCCCACCTTGTTCCTGACGACAAAGACCAGCAACCCCGAGAGGGATGAGGTCCTTCCCCTATAACAGGATAAATGATATTGAGCTCAATGAAACCCTGGATGGCAGAGGCAGCAGCTTGGGAAGGGAAAGTGTCACCCCATTAGTGAATAAAGATTTCTGAGCAGTTGAAGGTTTCTCAACAGCCTGTGGGAAGGGTGGAGTGCTGGATGCTGGGGTTTTCTCCTCAAAATCTTCCCTGGAAAACGGTGAGGGCAAGCCAGGTCCTGGCAGGCTGGGCTCCAGGCATTGAGAATGTGTGAGTCAGAGCCTCACCCCCCGCCCCCGCAGTGGCCGACTGACTCCCTCCCTCCAGTTCTGGGTAGTCAGGCTAGGGATCAGGCCATACTCCAAACCATTTAAAGTTAAAGATTCTTTTATTAATAAATTCTCCCTCCCCTCCAAACTTTATCCCCCAAATAAATATCCCCCCCCCCAATTAGGGGATGGGTTGTGTGTTTGCATTAGGGCCAGCCCTCCCAGAGGGCCAGCCCCTTAGTGTTAAGAACAGGTCGCTAAACCTGACCAACTCCCAGGACTGAAACTCAAGTGTAGTTGAATTTCAGCCCATCTGAGAGAGTGGGACCTAGTGTGTCTGCTCCCCAAGTCAGCCAGGCCTCCAGGATTTGGGGGGAGCAAGAGACCCCCTTGTGCAAATGCTGCAGTTCCTTAGTATGTGTTGCTTTGTGACCCAGCCTGAGGCTCTCTGCCCTGGAACCAGAGACAGGGCAATCTAGACACCTTAGAAGGCTCCCCTGAACCCTAAGCCCAGCCTTTGGAGGTGAATCACCACCTCGCCCCACCCCCTTGCGGTTGGAAGAGTCTGGCTCGGGCTGTGTCTGGAGGGCCAGGCTGGCTCCAGAATGAATGAATGGACGATGAGTGGGCACCAGCGCGGGCGCTCCTCACTGGATCAGTGCCACACCTGGGCAGCCCTCTCCACCAGTCTCCTCTATGGGGGCTGGAAGAGAAGAGGTGGGGTTGTGATTAGGGCACACTTAGGGAAGTGCTGGGGGAGGTGGGAGGATTGAGGGCGGGGAGGTCACTTACTAGTAAACTTTTCTCTCCGCCGGCACCGTCTCCAGACCAGGAAACCAGAAAGCAGCGCCAAAACCAAGGCCAGACTAAGAGCGCCTCCCAGAATGGGCCAGAGCAGCCTGAAGGGGGCAGGAGGTGCCGCTGCGCCTAGTGGCCAGGACTCAAATCAGATCTCGCCCTTGGGAAGCCAGTCCGCCCTCAAGGGGGTCTCAAACTTTGCCCCACAGAGTGTTCCCAACCGGATAGAAGCCCCTTCCCCAGTCGGTGCTCCTTGATTTCCTAGACCCTAAGTTCGCGACCCTCCTCTCCGCCGCAGCAACCCTCTACCCACTTCCAGGATCCGCTCGCCACCGGCCCCGCCCCCACTCACATCCCAAGCAGAAGTCGCTGTGTGGTCGCGCTGGACATGAAGCGCAGTCCATGCACTTGTCGAGATCCGCGCTCCAGGAGCTGCCGCTAGAGCATGGGGCGGTGCCTGGGGAGGGGGCTGCAAGTCAGAAGCCGGCGGCTGGGCGCGGCTATTCTGGGGGCTGAGGTCAGGGTCAGTCGGCTCAAATAACGTGAGTCACCATCGCCCCCCCACCCCCGCATTCCTCACAGGTGACCGCACCGCCAGACCGAGACACGGCAGTGCGGGAGGGGGTCGGGTAGCGCGCGACTTGGGGGGGGTGATTCCCCCCCCCCGCCAGAGTGTGACTCACTCCTGGGCACTGGGCCCGACCCCAGTCCCTCCTCCCGCATAACTGGGCATTGAAGTCACCGGATGGAAGGGGCACCCCCACATGGTATAGAGGGCAAAGACCCCAGTGCCCCCTCGCGATTCTTAGCTATCGGACTGGTCAGACCCCATTACAGACCAGGGTGAGGGCATACCCCCTTCCCAAAACAAACCTCGTTCCCTCAAAGTTTACTTTCTGTCTCTACTCTGGCTCGAACTTTTGAGACGAAAGACCCCACACCTGATTGGACAGGTAGCGAAACAGGACTCAGATTGTGGATAAAACTTGGAGTGGATTGAGACCTTCCCCACTTGGAATACTCTGCCTAAAGTCCACGGATCACAGATCCGCACGTCTACCCGGTTCCACTCATCTCCAGGCACCCAAATTCCGTTCCTGAGCCCCCAAATACGAGGTTCACCGTCCTCTGAGCCAAGCATACCTGGTGCCTGTTCCCCGGCCGCGGCGCGCATCAGCACCAACCCGAGTCCCAACACGAGGATCTGCGGCAGAGGACGCGGCCAACCCGGAGCCATGACTGCCGGTCCCGAGGCAGCAGCAGTCTGTTCCCACTACCCGCGGGCCAAGACTCGGGGCTGGGGCTCCGCCCCCGCCCCCGCCTTCCGGGGCGGAGCCCTTGCCTCTGCCCGCCCCAACATCCACTCGGCTTTGCGGAGCCGAGAGCAAGCAGTCGAAGTCATTCGTTCAACACAATCCTCCAAGTGTCTAGAACGCCGCGAGGACGTCTACCCTGCTCCTCCCTCTGCGAGCCTTAGTCCCAAGGGCGTGGAGCGGGGGCAATCAGCTATAAGACGTAATTGCAATATATATTTTAAGTCCAAATAAATTATGTTTGTCTATTATTTTGCAATTCTGGGGTGGAAACCAGAGGATTGAATACACCAGGCAAGCACTGAGCGATACCCATACAGCCTTTATGTTAGCTTGCTTTTTTTGTGTGTGTGTGTGTGTGTGTGTGTGTGTGTGTGTGTGTGTGTGTGTGTGTGTGTGTGTGTTTAAAGATTTATTTATTTATTATGTATACAGTATTCTACCTGCATGTGTCCCTGCAGGCCAGAAGAGGGCACCAGATCTCATTACAAGTGGTTGTGAGCCACAATGTGGTTGCTGGGAATTGAACTCCGGACCTCTGGAAGAGCAGTCGGTGCTCTTAACCACTGAGCCATCTCTCTAGCCCTGTGTTTTTGGTTTTTGGTTGTTTTTGTTTGTTTGTTTGTTTGTTTGTTGGGTTTTGGGGGGTTCTTTTTTTTTTTTTTTTTTTTTTTTTTTTTCGAGATGGGGTTTCTCTGCGTTGGTTTTGGTTTTTTGAGACAGGATCTCATACTGTATCCCAGGCTAGCCTCAAACTCGAAACACTCTCCTGTCTCGGCCTCCCAGTGCTAGGATTGCAGGCAGGAGCCACCACACCTAGATTTTCTTTGGTTTGTTTGTTTTGTTTTGTTAGAATCTTGCCTTATAGCCCAGGCTGGTCTCTATTTCCGGGTTCTCCTGTATCAGTAAACAGTACTACAAGCATATGCATGCTGTATTATTTTTTTAAGATTTATATTTTTGTGTACGTGTATGTGCCACATGTATATGAGTGTCCCTGGCGTCCAGAAGAGGGCAACGGATCTCCTAGAGATGGAATTACAGGTGGTTGGTTATAAGCTGGGTGTAAAAACCCGTTCACCTGGAAGAGCAGAAAGGCTACTAACCGGTGAGCCATCTTTCCAGACCCACATGCTGCTTTCTTAAGGGCCTCGGGGTATACAAAAACAAGGAGATGGCTCAGCGGTAAGGATGCCTGCTGCCAAGCCTGGCAATCTGGGTTCGAGCCCCAGGGCCTATAGAGTGGAAGACGAGAACCAACTTCCGTTATCAGTTCTGACCACAGGTAAGCAGTGTGACAGTCCCCCCCCCCTAAAAAAAAAGTATAAGGATGCCTGCTGCCAAGCCTGGCAATCTGGGTTCGAGCCCCAGGGCCTATAGAGTGGAAGACGAGAACCAACTTCCGTTATCAGTTCTGACCACAGGTAAGCAGTGTGACAGTCCCCCCCCCTAAAAAAAAAGTAATGTGCCCTTTAATTTGTACCTTAGACTTACATAGTAACATGCAGACTTGTCTCCATTCGCAAAGTAAGAAACTGTGGCTGTGGGAAGTTGAGTGAATTCTCAAGTCACAGCTCGGGTCGCTGAACTCAGCAGGTAGCAGGTGTTGCCGCCGGAGTCGCCGGCCACTAAGGGACGTGGCTGAGAAAAGCACTCCGGCGGTTGTCAGGGAGGGGGTCTCTGCCCCTCCCAGAGGGAGGTGGTCCAGTGACGTCATTGCGACTTTAAGACCCCTTGCCTCCGCCCTCGTCCCTACTTTCGACTTGGGAATCTTTGCAGGACTTGTTTGCAGGTGAGCAGCCTGGGGCTAGTGTGAGTTGCGGGCGTGGAGATACGCGGGCAGGGGATGTGGCAGGGTGCTTGCGGGCATGTGCAGAGAGCTGGAGCTTCGATCCTGGTGGCAGCCTCTTGGGTCAGCAAGTCCCTAGGCAGGAAGTGGTTGCACCGAGCCCCTCAAGGCGATCGAGTACCCGCGGCCCCAGAAAAGTTAAACGCCCCTCCCCCTCCCCCGGGACAAAGACACCGAAACCTGGAACGCCCCTCCTCCACCTGCTTGGTTTCTCTGGGGCGGGACTCCCCTCCCCCCCCACCTGCAGGCGCGGACCCAGCTTCGGGCGCCGCCATTAAGCCCCTCCTGGTCGCGCACTCCTAGGCTTGATAACCAACCAGCCCCGGGTGGCCGAGCCGGACAGGACGCCCTCGGACAAAGCTGAGTGAGCACTTGGTAAGTGGAGAGGGACAGACATGAGAAGGAGCGAATGTCTCTCCAGATGTTGACTCCAGCGTGAGGCTGCCAGTGAGAGGGGCCTGTGCCATTCTTAGGTGCAAGGTGCACACTTAGATCGAGGGTAATGGGGAGCCACAGCAAGGCGCCGAGCACAACTGATTCCCTTAGTACCACCAATGTGAAGTGCGACGAGAAAGACACAGGTGCAGCCTGCCACAGAAGGCACTGGGGTCTTGAACCTTAGCTCCTTACGAAGCTGTGTCGAGAGAGGAAAGGTAGCGTGGCCTTTGGTCTGAAATTCGAAAGAATGCTCCCATTCTCGAGGGCATGCACCTTGACCCTTAGAGGTGGAGGCTGGACCGAATCGGCTGGTAGCCTAGAAAAACCTGCCTTTGGGTGAAAGGCTTTGTTTTTCCTCATCTCTCAGCAAGGGTGGGCTGGGCCCTGCCTGGAAGGGCCTCCAGCAACTCCCAGGGATTGGGAGGAGATAACTGGAGTGTGGGGGAGGGCTAGGCCTAGGATTTCAAGGAATTAGATCCACCTGAAATAGGACCCGGAATGGAGCTGGGGGTTTCCATTTGAGCCTCGGGTGGTGGGAGGAAACCTTAGGTTGGACCTGAAACTTGTGGCTAGAGCCCGACCATTTCTTCACCCCTTTGCGTCGCTTTGCTCACCTGATAAAACGCACCTGAGGATGTAGTGCAGTTTGTAGTGCTTGCCTGGCATGCACGAAGCCCTGAGGTCAGTCACAGTGCTGCATTATCTGGGTGAGGTGTTACAGGTCGTAAATGCCTGTTACCCCAGCACTCAGGTGGTGGGAGCAAGAGGGTCAGAAGTTCAAGATCAGCCTCAGCTACAATGGGAGTTCAAGGCATTTCAAGCCTGGGCTACATAAGACCCTGTCTCAAATAAAATAAATGTACGAGAAAGCAGCTGCCACTGGCCTGGCCTGTGCCTTCTGCTTTGTCCTATTTCCTATAACCTGCATGAAAAACAAAAACAAAACAAGATTTCCTGCTTTACCTGTCACAGACTAGGGAAGAATTAAATCTTTATTTTACTTTTGATTGGCCCAGGGAGTGTATCTAACCCACTCTGCAGAACACTGTAGCCAACTGTTAAGGTACTTGGTGCTGGTATCACAGCTGGCAAGATATAGGACATCCGGGCCTGCCACACTTTAACTAACATTCCTCTGTTTCAATCTTCCCATGCTACACAGCCCCCTCAACCTCACCATGGCCTCCGCCGGTCTGCAAATCTTGGGGATCGTTCTGACCCTGCTTGGCTGGGTCAATGCCCTGGTGTCCTGTGCCCTGCCCATGTGGAAGGTGACAGCCTTCATCGGCAACAGCATCGTTGTGGCCCAAATGGTGTGGGAGGGGCTGTGGATGTCCTGTGTGGTCCAGAGCACCGGCCAGATGCAGTGCAAGGTGTACGATTCACTGCTGGCGCTGCCCCAGGACCTACAAGCCGCAAGGGCCCTCTGCGTCATCACCCTCCTCGTTGTCCTGCTTGGTCTGCTGGTCTACCTCGCTGGAGCCAAGTGCACTACCTGTGTGGAAGACAAGAATTCCAAGTCTCGACTGGTGCTCATCTCTGGGATCGTCTTTGTCGTCTCCGGCGTCCTGACCCTCATTCCTGTCAGCTGGACGGCCCACTCTATCATTCAAGACTTTTATAATCCCTTGGTAGCTGATGCTCAAAAGCGGGAGCTGGGGGCCTCCCTCTATCTGGGCTGGGCAGCCTCGGGCCTTCTGCTGCTGGGTGGGGGGCTGTTGTGCTGCGCCTGCTCCCCTGGAGGGCCCCGGGGACCTGGCCATTACATGGCCCGCTATTCTACATCTGCCCCACATTCGGTCTCTCGCGGACCCTCTGAATACCCCACCAAGAATTATGTCTAATGCTCGCTGGGGAGTGAGGCACTACTGGCCAAGCCATAGGGCCTTGAGCTGAGCCATCAAGAAATGGTGCCTGGTAGTCTTGGGGTTGTTGAGTTTGTTTCTGTTTTGCAGTACTGGATATTGAACCGGGGCCCCACACTTTGTAAGCCAGCACTCTACCAATGAGCTGTATGGTAGCGGCCCCTCGGGTTGGTTTCGAGACAGGCTGTCATTACGGAGCTGACTGACCTCCAACTCTAGTTTAATTGCCTCAACCTGAGCCCAGGCTCTGCAGCTTGCATTTCTCATTTTTAGATTATGCATCGGGAGGGATGATACTTTTAGTTTGTGTCTTTATTCACTCTGGGCATCTTCTGCAGAACCTGTTTTGAGAATGCTTTTGGACCTGGCCTTTGTGATCCCCAAGATGGCCTGTCCCAAGAGTTCCCAGTCCTGGAAGGTCAGGTGATAAGTTACCAAAGAATTTTCTTCTCCAAGTCTTCCAACCTTTTGCCCCTACATCCCATGACCAAAGTTACCGTGTGTCTCCCCCAAATCAGGTCCCAGCTGTGCTGTAGACCCTTCACCCCCTTTTCTCTAGCCTTGCACATTTCCCTACCCACACAATGTTTTACCAAATAAAACATGATTTTTATAGTGTGCCTTCGATGTCAGTTGGTGTTTGGTACGGACCTAACCAGAGGGAGGTGGCAGTTCCACAATCAATTCCGAGCCTTTCTGGCTCAGACCCCATGGTCTAAGCAAGCATGCTTTCTGGCTGGAACCTGGTGCACCCCCACCCCCATACCTTTTCACAGATCAGAGGAAGCTCAGTTACAATCTGCTTTTATTCCCAGCTCAGGGTGGGGAACGGGTAGGGCACTGAGCAGCTTGGGTTCAGGTGGTGGTTGGGCTAGACTTGACCATCTGAAGGCTGTTAGGTCACTGCACATCTTATTTTGAAGGCAAGGAGGCTGAGGCCCAGGTTCCTGGGGTATAAGGCACAGCTCCGTGGAGAGGAGAAAGTCCGTTCAGGAGAGGAAACCACAGCAATACCCTGGGAGGCAGGGATGGGCCAGGGTCCCCAACAGCTTTGGCGCTTTCTCAAGATTGCAACCACCGCAAAAGGTTGGCTCAAGACAGACCAGTCTTGACCAAAAAGAAGTGAGCTTCCCTGGCATACAAGGTTGATCAGAGATGCAAGGTGCAGCCTAGTGCCTGGGCATAAGGCTGCAGGTTTGAGCTTCTGGAGGAAGCCTCAGCCTCACACGTAGTCTCTCTTATCCAGTCCTGACGCACCTGAACGGGAAGGGATGGAGTAGCCCAGCCTGGGTCCACGGGGCCGCTCGAAATGAGATGGGGGGCACGTACAACAGAGGAGCCCTCCACCGAGCATGAGCAGCGCGGCCGCGGCCCAGCCCAGGTAGAGGGAGGCTCCCAGCTCTCTCTTGAGGGCTTCAGCCACCAGTGGGTTATAGAAGTCCTGGATGATGGCATGGGCTGTCCAGCAGACAGGGATGAGCACCAGGATGCCCGAGAGGAGGAGGAGGACCCCTGCGGTGAGCACAATTCGGGCCTTGGCACCTTCATCCTCCACACATGTGGTGCACTGGGCTCCCGTGATGGCCACCAGCAGGCCCAGCAGAGCCAGCAGGAGGGCGACAACGCAGAGGGCCCTTGCGGCTTGTAGGTCCTGGGGCAGCGCCAGCAGCGAGTCGTACACCTTGCACTGCATCTGGCCGGTGCTCTGGACCACACAGGACATCCACAGCCCCTCCCACACCACCTGGGCCACCACGATGCTGTTGCCGATGAAGGCTGTCACCTTCCACAGTGGCAGGGCACAGGACACCAGGGTCCCTAGCCAGCCCAGCACGGCCAGGGTCATGCCAAGGAGTTCAAGGCCAGTTGAAGCCATCTGCTCCTCAGGTCTTCTCAGCTCTCAGCCTGAATCACACACTCAAAACAGGGTTGGGAGCTCGGAGTTCCGAGTTCGGGGTGGGTCTCAACTGCTCAGGAGGTGGATCAGTTGCTCTCAGGCCAGGCCAGACCTCACATCTGTGGGCCTCAGCACCTGATACTCACTGAATACAAAGAAGTCCTTAGGTCCTGCTCAGCTGGATTGCTTGTGTCCTCTGGGAAGCCTGTGGCCCGTCACAGACCCTCCAAACCTGCCATGAACTTGGAACAGACGTGTTCCTCTCTGCTGCCGCTCACTTCCTTTCTTGGTTGAAGTCTTCTCTCAGCCTGTCTCCAAACAGAGAACTGTGAGGTGCCACCTGGGGCGTCTGAGGGCGCTGGCTGCAGGCGGGTTTTTAAGGCCTAGGCAGGGGAGGAGCCCCGCAAGGACCTGGAGGCTGCCATTGGGTAGCAAAACCAGAGCGATGGTGAAAAGGGGGTGGGGTGGGGTACCAAGACCTAGTGGAAACCCGTGAACAAAGGAATTCCGGGAAGACAGGACAAACAGAAAAGGGACGAGAGGAGCCAATTTCTTGGCTTGGGACGGAGAATTAGACTGATGAGCCCCAGCCTGAGCCCGCTCCCTCTTGTCACCTGTCCAGTTCACTCTGTGATGGTGGGGAAAATATGCCCCCATTACCCATCCTTCCCCTCCCCGCTCCCCACCTTTTCAGAACTCTCCGGAATCTGATCTGTCTCCAGTCTCAGCTCAATAACCCTGGCAGCTCCTAGGGGAGAGGCCCTGCCTACAGTTTCCCAGACAACAGATGCCTGGCGCCCAGCTCAGGTGGCATTACCAAGGCAACGGCCTAGAAAACTACTACACACACACACACACACACACACACACACACACACACACACACACACACACACGCTTCGACCTCAGCTCAGGTGTTCCCACTCCACCCCCACTGCCGAAACTAGGGGGCTGGGCTGAGCTGAGCTGCAGAAGGTCCCTAGCGGCCTGGTGATAAAGAGCCTGTTGTGGAGATGGGGGATGGCAGAAAGAGACCTTAGGCAAGAAGGGACAAGTGGGACCCTGAAATAGGGTACCAGAATAGCCAGCCAAGCCCAGACACCATGGAGGTGGGCAAGGGGGTGAGGTCCAGAGGATTAAAATGTCCCTAAACCCTGACTTTCAGGTCACAAAAAAGACCCCTTAGAGTCTCCATTCACAAAGTGCTACCTGATTTCAGCTCAAATTCTGATCCTACCAGGGGTACCAGGGAGGACTAGCTGTCTTAACCTCTTTGGACCAGAGACTCAGCTGAGAAAACTCAAAGAGCCTGCTTTCCACCTGGGGACACAATCCTGCCAATATGTGCATATCTCAGAGAGGTCATGGAAGTCATGAACAATCCCTGGAGGGCCCGGAGGCTAGGAACTCCTGAGGCTTTTTTTTTTTTTCCATAGCCCTGGCTGGCCTGGAACTCACAGAGATCTGCCTGCCTCTGACTCCTAAGTCCTAAGATTGAAGGTGTGTACCACCATGCTCAGCTTCTGAGGACTATTATTTTTTTTTAATTTGTGTAGACTAGAAGTATATGAATAGAGTAATACTCTCTATTAAGTCATTCCCCGAGTCAATTTCAATGTCCCAAAGTTTAATTAACAGAACAGGGAAGCTGCCCTGAACTGAACTCAACACTTTGGAGGAGGACTATTATTTAAAAAAAAAAAAGGCTCCTTCGGAGGCCAGGCCAGTGAAACCCAGGTGTTTTGCCTGCATGTCTGTCTGTACAGCACGGGTTCCTGGTGCCTGCCAATGCCAGGGAGAGAGCATTAGATGCCCTGCAACCAGCATTACAGGTGGTTGTGAGCCACCAGGTGGGCACTGGAACCAACCTGGGACTTCTAGAAAGCAGCCAGTGCTCTTAACCACTGAACAATCTCTCCAGCTCCAGTGGCGCACACCTTTAATCCCAGCACTTGGGAGGCAGAGGCAGGCAGATCTCTGTGAGTTTGAGGCCAGCCTGGTCTACAGAGCTAGTTCCAGGACACAGAGAAATTCAGTCTCAAAAAAACCAACAAAACAAAACAAACAAAGAAAAGAAAAAAGAAGGAGGCCTGGCCTGGTGTGGTGA